TTCAGACCTTTTACGGCAGGGGACAAACTTTTTAAAAAATGGCATTCATTTATTTTTAAAGAGAGGGGAAGGGAGGGAGAAAGAGGGAGAGAAACAGCGATGGGTTGCCCCTCTCACACCCCCCCCACCCCCCGACTGGGTGCCTGGCCCCAACTCAGGCAGTGCCCTCACCGGGAATTGAACCAGAGACCTTTGGGTTTGCAGGCCAGCACTCAATCCACTGAGCCACACCAACGGGGGGGGGGGGGAGGGGTGAGAAACTTTTAATGTAAAAGACCAGGTAGTAGGTTTCAGCTTTTTCAGTCCCAGAGCCATCCCTGTAGCTGCTGCTGCTGCTCTTTCTTCTCTTTCCTCCCCCACTTTCTTCCTCCCCCACCTTTCCTTCCCCCTCTCCCATCTCCCCCTTCTCCCCATGCCTCTTCTTCACTACCCATTAAAAGTGAAAAAACATTCTTAGCTCATGGGCCATTCAGGAACCGGCAGTGAGCTGCCCTTGACCAGGGGGCTGTAGTTTGCCTAATCCCTGTTCTCGGCCTGAACAGACTGCGTTTTCTCTTTCGCTCACTGAGAGAGGATGTTAAAAATCTCCGACTGTGATTTTCGACCTGTCCCTTTCAACTGTGAATCCTATCGATTCTTGCTTCGCATATTTTGAAGGTCTGTTATTAGACATAAACACATTTATGGTTGTTTTATCTTCCCGATGGGTCAGCTGCTACTTTTACCAGTATGAAATGTACCCTTTTATCTTTGGTAATACAGTTTCCCTTGAAGACTGATTTATCGAATACTGATAAAACGACATCAACCTTCTTTGCTTACTGTTTCTTTTTTTTATGCCCTTTTCCATCCTCTTCTGTACGTCTAAACTATTGGTGTCTTTCTATTTTAACTGTGGCTCGTGCAGACAGCCGGTAGTGTGGTCTTTTAAAAAATCCTTCCACTATGTCTGCTTCTAAGTAGATTTATTTGGCAAATTTGCATTTCATGTAATATTGATATGATTGGATTAAATCTACCATTTTGCTATTCATTCTTTGTTCCTCTTTTCTCCTTTTTGTTTTCTGTTCAACCTCGTCGAGGCAAAATGTGCATATGGAAAAGCGCACACATTCTAAGTATTCAGCTGTATGAGTTGTGACAAAGGCATATACGACAAAAGTCAAGAGGGAGGACATTTCCCTCACTCTCACAGTTCGCCTCGTGCTCTTCACAGTCAGTGCCCTTCTCTATATTCGGCGCCCAGGCAGCAAATACAGGTTAGATTCACCTTTTCTAGAGTTTCATTTGAACAGAATTACAGAGCATGTACTCTTGAGTCCACCTGTTTTACTTAGCATAATTATTTTGAGATCCACCCAAGTCGTTGGACGTTTCAGTAGTTCACCCCTCTTTATTGCTGAGTGGTATTCCACCGCACAGATATACCATGATTTGTCTAACCATTCATGGGTCGTTTCCAAGTTGGGGTTATGATTAACAAAGCTGGTAGGAAAATGTATGTTACAAGTGTTTGTGTGGACATAGGGTTTTACTGATCAGGAGTGGGATTACTGGGTCACGTGGTAAGTGTAAGTTGAACTTTGTAAGAAACTGAAGAGCTGTTTTTCAATATGATCGTATCAACTTACATTTCCACCGGCAAAGTGTGAGCTTTTCATCTTGTCTGTATTTTCTTTTCGTCAAACTCATATCTTGCAACTTTATTTTTCTTTTTCAAGTTAGACGTTCCTATTCTAGGCTCTTCGCATTTCCGCATACGTTTTGGAGTCGGTTTGCCAGTGTCAGCAAAATCAGTATTTTTATTAGGTTTACATCAAATTTGTAAAATGGTGTGGCGAGATCGTGCGACTTAAGAACACTGGGTCTTCCAATCCATGAACCTGACATATTTCTCCACTTGTGTACGCTTTTCTTTAATTTCTCTTATCAATAGATTTTAGTTTTCACTGTAAAGATTCTGCTCATATCTTATTAGGTGCATCACTAAGTATTTCATGTTTTAGGGTACCATTATAAATGACAGTGATTTTTAAAATTTTACTCCTCTCTTTTTTGTAGGTAGGATTTTCTACATGCACAGACATGTCGTCTCTGAATAAAGATAATCTTATTTCATTTTCCTCAATTTGCATGACTTTTATTTCTCTTTCTTTCATAGTGCACTGCCAAACATTTCCAGGACAATGTTGAACAGAATTCAGCCTTTTAACATTAAGTATCATGTTAGCTGTGGGATTTTTGTAGATTCCCTTTATCAGATTAAGAATGTCTCCTTCGAGTTGTAGTTTTCTGAGAGTTTTTATCCTGAGCGGTTGTAGAGTATTGTCAAATGTTTCTGCTGGATCTATTGAAATGACTGCATTTTGTCCTTTAGTTTCTTAATATGACGAATAACACTGATTTGTTTTTTAATGCAAAACCAATATTTTGTTCTTGAGCTAAACCTCACTTGGTTGTGATGTATCATCCTCTTTATATATTGCTACATCAAATTTGCTAATATATTTTTAAAGGTTTTTACTTATTTACTTTTAGAGAGAGGGGAAAGGAGGGAGAAGAAGAGGGAGAGAAACATCAGTGTGTGGTTGCCTCTCGTGCACCGCCAAATGGGGACCCGTCCCGCAACCCAGGCACGTGCCCTGGCCGGGGAATCGAACCGGCGACCCTTTGTTTCGCAGGCCGGCGCTCAATCCACTGAGCCACACCAGCCAGGGCTAAATTTGCTCATATTTAATGAAGATTGTGTGTGTGTGTGTGTGTGTGTGTGTGTGTGTGTGTGTGTGTGAACTTCATGAAGGATACTGGTCTGTGGTTTCCTTTTCTCACAATGTCTTCATCTGGTTTGGGTATTATGTGTTATGTAATGCTGGCTTCATAAAATGATTTGGGAAGTGTTTCCCCTCCTCTACTTTCTGAAAGAACTTGTATAGAATTGGTAATATTTCTCTTTTTTAAGTACCTGATAGTATCCGCTAAGAAAACCAGGTGAGCTTGGAGTGCTCTGTTTCATTCCTTTAACAGATTTGGGTATGTTCAGTTTTCCTAAATCTTCTTGAGTCAGTTTTGGCAATGTGGGTCATTCAAGGAATTTGCCCATGTCCTCTAAATTAACAAATTTGTTCACAACTCGTGTTCCTAACATCCTCTGGTTCAATTTTTTATGAGTTTTATTGGTATTTAAAATGCTTTCTGTTTCATGGGATTTTCTCTAACACTTTGCCTTTTTTACATTTTACCCATATCTGCTCTTATATTCCTTATGTCTTACCAACTACATATTTAGATTTTAATTTGCTTTTCTTTGTCTGATTGTCTGCAGTATTGTTCTATCCATTACTAAAAGAGGAGAGTGAAAATATTTACCGCTGATAGTGGATTTATCTATTTCTCTTTTCTTTGTCATGAGTCCTGTTTCATGCATTTTGGAGCTCTGTTATTTGTAGTGCATATATATTTAGTTATTATGTCTTCTTCATGAACTGACACCTCTACCATTAGCAAATATCCTCCACCCCATCCTATTCCTTGTTCCGACGTCTAGTTGGCCTGCTACTAATATGTAACCCCTCAAACTTTCTTATGCTTAAGCGTCCATGGCATAGCTTTTTATGCAGTCTCACATCCTCTGCTGTTCAATTGCAGCATTTACAATTACTGTAATCAGCGGTATGACTGAGTTTAAATCTGTCAGCCTGCTATTCATTTTATATTTCTCCCATGTGTTCTGTGTTCCTCTTTCCATATTTTAGATGGGATAATTTTGAGAATTGCACTTTATCTCCAAAATGTATTTAGATCTAGTGTTGCTAGTATGTCTTTTATTATGGACTACCTGCCAATAATTTAAAGTCATTTCACATACATTGCAAGAACATTACAACAATATACTTCCAATTGCCCACTCGTGTCCTTTGTACTATTGTCGTCATACATTTTATGGCTGCAGAGGTTGTTAATGCCTTTGCTTTAAACAGGTTGCTATGACTTAAAGAAATTTTAAAACGAGAAAAACTGCTTTATATTTACCTACATATTTTCTAGTTCGAGGACTCTTCGTTCCTTCGGGTGGACCAAGTTTCCATTTGGCATCGTCCTTCCTTGTGGAGAACTGGCTTTAACATTTCCTGTAGCGCGGGTTTTCTGCCCACGACGAATTATCTCTGCTTTTATGTGTCTGAAAAAGTCATTATTCTGCTTTCCTTTCTGTTGAAGTGAAATCGGCACAGCATGGAAGTAGCTATTTTAAAGCAAACAATTCAGTGGCATTTAGCACTTTCCCGTGTAGAAGAATTGTCAAAGACTGAGTTCAAGAGAGCAGCTAGAGAAATTAGCCTTGGAGAGGAGGGCAGAGCCCTCGCCCACAAGGGCAGGAAATAGGCAAGGATACTGGCTGCAGTGAGTAGGTCTGCAGGTGCACTATGGGGCAAGGAGCTGACAGACCTCTTGCTTGATGATCAGAGAGGAGAGGAGAGGGCGTATCACGGAGGGCCTGGTGGGCCGTGGGGAGGACTTTGGCTTTGACTTTGAGTGATGTGGAAGGCACTGAGAGGTTCAGAGGAGGAGAAAGAGGGACCTGACTGATGTCTTATCGCTGATCCTGAATTGGGGTTCTGCTGGGTTGGTGATGGTGAAATAATGGGGCCCTTTCAGATAATTACAAGGTCCAGGGCCACTTGTGCGGGGAGGAGATCCCGAAGGGTTGACTTCGGTGTGCTTACAGGAGGTGCAGGCGCTGCGACGTCAAGGCGTGTGCACGTCCTCTTGGTGTGGGGGCTGAGGGGGGCTACCACTCCCATTCTCCAGGCCTCTGCCTTGCCACTGGGCTCTTGAGCCTGGCCTCCTTCCTCTAATTCTGAGTCTTCGTCCCGTCAGCCTGAAACCTGTCCTCTTTGTCTCAGGGCCACCCCGACTCCCTTTTGTAAATTGGAACTCTGAACTGACAGTCTCATCTGACTCTGCGTTGGACTCTACCGGTGCAGGTTTCTGTGCGTGGTTCCATGCAGCTGGAAAATGGGACCCTAGTGTCCCAGTTTCTTCTGGAAGGGTTGACTGACACAGAGGAGCTGAGGCCCTTGCTCTTTGCCATCTTGCTGCTGGTCTACATAGTGGCTGTGGTCGGGAACCTGGGCATCGTCAGCCTTATTGTGATGGACCCCCGGCTCCACACTCCCATGTACTTCTTCTTGGCCAACCTGTCACTGCTGGACACTGCCTATGTCTCCAACACGGTGCCTCAGGTGCTGGTGCATCTGCTGGCACCAGTGCGGACCATGTCCTATCGTGCTTGTCTTACCCAGATATTCTTTCTCCACTTCCTGGCGCCCTGGGAGTGCTTCCTGCTCACGGCCATGTCGTATGATCGCTATGCAGCCATCTGCCAGCCACTGCACTACCTGGTCCTCATGGGCCGAAGAACCCGGACAGGACTAGCTTCAATCTCCTGCCTTCTTGCCTTGGCCAATGCACTCACCCACACCATCCTTGCAGCTCTACTCCAATTCTGCGGCCCTCGCCTCATCACCCACTTCTTCTGTGACCTCCCTCCACTGCTCAAACTCTCTTGCTCCAGCACGCAGGCAAATGAACTTGCCCTGTTCTTCTTTAGTTTTCTGGTGGCTCTTGCACCCTGTGCCCTGGTTGCGGTCCCCTACGTACGCGTTGTAGCTGCCGTTCTCAGGATTCACTCTGCTGAGGGCCGAAGGAAAGCCTTTTCCACCTGTGGCGCTCACATCACTGTGGTCTGTGTTTTCTATATCACTTCAGTCCTCTGCTACATCCTTCCCAGCTCTGCATACTCGGGCTTGCGAGACCGGGTGCTCTCCGTGCTGTACGTGGTCCTCACTCCCATGCTCAACCCCATCGTCTACAGCATGCGAAACAAGGAGGTGAAGAGGGCTTTGTTTAAGGTGCTTGGGAAAGGAGGTGCCTGCTAGGCGCTCGTCACATCAAATCAAGGCCACACTCGTTCTCCACAGTGAGGCTGGCACATGCCTGAGGCTTTGGGGGTGAGCCCAATAACGCAGGAGCTTGGGATTTAATGTAGACGGTCCATTTGGGGAGTCTTATTTTGCGTGCCAGGTTTTCCCCCGTCCCGGCAGAGATCAGCTATCTCTGTTGCCTATTCTTTTGCACTGAGACATGGTTTTCCACTAATGGGTGTAAAGCATGTTCGTTCGATCAGTGGTGCACTTACAGGAACTTGTAAAATGAGGAATAAAATACGCCCCACGGTCTTTTTTTTCTTTCTTAAAGATTTTGTCTATCTATTTGTAGAGAGTGGGGAAGGGAGGAAGAAAGAGAGAGAGAGAGAGAAACACCCATGTGAGCGAGAAACATAGATTGGTTGCCTCTCCCATGAGTCCCAACAGGGGGCCGAAGCCGCAACCCAGGCACGCGCTCTGGCTGGGAATCGAACCGGCGATCTTTCGCTTTGTGGGCCGACGCCCAACCAACTGAGCCACACCGGTCAGGGCATGCTCCACACTTTTACCGCCGAGAGGGAACCGCTGTGAACATTTTGGTGGTTTCCTTCAGGTTTCTTTTAGAACCATCTATGTGTGTGTACGCGCATATTTAAGCAGGGAAGCACAGCGGGGTTCAGAATGTATTTACAGTTCTGGATGCTTCAGTATGTTTAACTTTTTTCAGTCGGAATATATGCTGATTATAAAATCATTCATGCTTGGTACAACGCTATGTTGTTAGAGAGTGAAAATTTCTCATAATCTGAGTCTCTGCACTACCCACCATGAACAGTTACCTGTGTTTCCTTTTTGATTTCCCCCCCTCAGGGTACATTACCCTAAATGTTAAAAAAAGTTATCCCTGGGATATATGTTTATTAATTTTTAGAGAGACAGGAAGAGAGAGAAAGAAAGAGAGATATAGAAGGGGGGGAGAGAGGGAGGGAGGGAGAGAGAGGAAGAGCGAGAAACATCCATGTGACAGAGAACGCGCCTTGTCAGGCCTGGAATGGGGATCAAAAATGCAACCTTTGGATGCAGGGACAACGGTCACGCCGGCCGAGCCCCCTGGGTAGGGCTGCATTTCCAACATCACTTCCTTTTCACATAAATCGTGTCACACCACGTCCAAATTGGCCGTCCATGATTCTTAGCCCACGAATTCCATGTTCCTGTCATTTGTACAATTTCCTTCTGGGTTCTCTGCCTTGTTACGTATTGATTTCTGGAAGGAATTTTCATTTTAGAGATGTTAACCTTTGTTTACTCTTTGGGTTGCCGATTTTCCCCTAAATCGTTTGTCTTCTCATTTGATTTTTGGTGTTTTCTTCCAAAACAGAATTGAACGTTTTTGTGTTATTAGACGGTGATTTTACTTTTTTGTTTTCTGGATTTTGAATCCTGCTTTGTTTACTGTTTGACTTACAGTCTTCCCAATCGATTCCCAATTCGGTACTGTTATCGTGTCTCCTGCCGTAAATACACTTAACATTTCTTTGTGTTCTGACACTGATTCATTCTTATTCATGCATACCTTCTGGGGTTTCCCCACCGCGCAAAGGTTTAATTTTTTTTATTTTTAGAGAGGGGAAGGGAGGGAGAAAGAGAGGGAGAGAAACATCGTTGTGTGGGTGTGTCTCGCGCGCCCCCTGCTGGGGACCTGGCCTGCACCCCAGGCATGTGTCCTGCACTGGGAGTGGAACCACAGCCACCCTTTGGTTCGCAGGCCGGCGCTCAATCCACTGAGCCCCACCAGCCAGGGCTGGGTTTTGTATCCTGCTCAAATTTCCTCACCTGTGTTTCTCCTTTTCTTTGTATAGTTTTTTTTTCTACTTCATTGTATGCTTTCATCCCCCCGCCCACCCCCGCCCCATTTATAGCCCTCGATTCTTCTGGAAATTTACTTTCTGGGAAGAGCAAGGTCACGGACAGCTTTCTTTCTCTTCTGACTTGAGTCATCCAAGTAATTTCACTCTTGTTCTTTACGTAATCTTTGGTTTCACGTACTGACTCCTTTCTCCAGTCACAAGTCTGGCTTAGTTGCCTAGGATACAAGTGCTCATCTGCTTAGGATACAACTGCTCCTGTCCTGGCTGATAAACCCCATCTTCCAAGGAGAAACTGGCCCTTGTGTTGGACTTTGGACATCACCTTCGCGTCCACATATCTTGGCCTTTCTCCCCATCCTTCACTCGACTAGTGGCAGAGTAACGTTCCCTCATCCCCTGACCAGGTAATGTGCTGAAATTACAGAGACCTGGCTAAATGGGTCATGAGGGAGTGTGTAGTTCCTGCAAAATTAGGAACTCAATAACCTGAAAACTCTCTCACCGCTAAAACTAGCACTGTGTATATTGACATACATGTGTGCGTTCAATGTTTTTTTTTGAACAAAAGACTTATTACCGCATCATTGACGATAATAAAACAATTAAAAAAAAAGAACCCAAATGCTCAAGTATCCATCCCGAAGGCAACAAAGCTCTAATCCCTTTGCGCCCTAACTTCTGTCTCACCTCCTTCTTGTCCTGGCGTTTCATCCTGCACCCTTGGGAATGCAACCCAAGCTGCAAGAGCAAGCGAAGATGGGAGTTCAGAATTTGGTGGAGACAACACTTCCACTCACTGGAGAAGTATAGATGATTCAGTAAGTGATGTTGAGACAGCCGACTAAAGCTCGGCAAGGGAAATAATTAGATCAACGTCGTCTCCACACCAACATGAATTCTTAGTGGATTGAAATATTAAAGTGCTAGATGTTCAGACTGACACGTTTTAAAACTTTACAGCGGGCGAGGCTATCCGTTGGACGTAAACGGCAGAAATCATCATGAAAAGTTGATCCCTTGCATGGCATTTAAAGTTTAAAAAACTTCCTATATATAAAGGAACTATGTTCACAGATAAAATGAGGAAAGGAGGAAGGAAAGTATTTTCAACTTTTGGTAAAGATTTGGTTTCTAAAACATACAAAGAGCGCTCACCAATCAATAAGTAAAGCATGACTTCTCCAATTAAAAAACAGACAAAGGGTAGGAACGAACAGTTCTCAGAAGTAGGAGATCCCACTGGCCAAACGTCATATGAATTGATGTTAAGTCACTTAGAAGTCAAAAGAAAGTGAAACGATATTGATATATGATTTTGGTTACAATGTCGCCGAAGACTGAAAAGATCGACAGTGTTTGGTTTGGGGCGTGTATGGGCTGAATTGTCCCTCTCCCACCCCCCTCCCGGCCCCCGCCCGAGCCATATGTTGAAACCCTAATGTGGCTCTACTTGGAGAGAGAGACTTCTAGGAGGTAATTAAGGTTAAATCAAGTCGCCAGGGTTAGCCCCTGATCCCCTAGGACTGGCGTCCTAAAGGGAGACACAGGCACCAGGGTGCTCCCTCTTTCTCTCTCGATACACACAGAAGAAAGGCCACGTAATGGCACAGTGAGAAGGTAGCTGTGTGTAACTCGAGGAGGAGGACTCACCCAAAAGCAGCCCTGCTGGTACCTTGATCTTGGACTTGGAGTCTCCAGAACTGTGAGAAAATAAGTTTCTATTGCTTAAGCCAGCTTGTCTGTGGTACTTTGTCACGGCTGCCTGAGCTCGCAAATAGAGGCGTACCTCACAGAGATTGCAGGTATGGTTCCAGACCACCACAAATAAAGCGAATATTGCAATAAAGTGACTCACACACAACTTTTTGTTTTCCCAGTGCGTATAAAAGTTATGTTTACACTGTACCGTAGTTTATCAAGTGTGCACTAGCATTATGTCCAAAACAACAATGCACACACCTTAATTTAAAAATGCTTTATTGCTAAAAAATGCTAACCATCACCTGAGCCTCCGGTAAGTGATGATCATTTTGCTGGTGGAGGGTCTTGCTTTGATATCGGTGAAAATGCGGTATCTGAAAAGTTCAACACCATGAGGTATGCCTATACAGGGTGGGAAGTCAGGAACTGGACACCTTCATGCACAATTCTTTGGAGCTAAAACTGGCTCTGCCTTTTGTCGGAAGGAAATTTGGTAGTAGCTAGCAAACATTTTTAAAGGGGCTTAGTCTTTGACCCAACAATCCCCCCTCTAAAAATCCATTGTACGAAATGCCTTACACAAACACAACTGTACCAGAATATGCATTTCAGCGTTATTTATGACACCCCCAAATTAGAAGGAACCTAAAGGCCTAGGTATGAGACTGGCTAAAATAACCAAGGTATTATATACGTCCTGTGAAATACTATACAGCCATTAAGGTAATTGGGGAGGGATAAGCTTCTCCTTCTGCACTGCGTGGTGCACTTCTGAGCCACGTTTGGGAGCACCGCCTGGAATGGGATGGTCCTTCTCCTCGTCCTTTCCTGCAGCCGCCCCGGAAGTCCCGCCCCTCCGTCTTTGAGGTCTTACCCTCAAAGGACACATGCCTCTCCTCTTCCACCACAACGTGGCTTGATCAGCAAGGAGCCAATCCCTTAGCAAGAAAATAGGCTCGTTTCTCCCTTGAAGTCAAGGAGGGCCAAGTTGTCACATTGTCAAGTTGTCAATGATAGGCTAAATAATACATAAAACTACGGTTCCTCAATTCAGTAGTAGTCAAGACTCTTCTATTGCACGTGGAAAAATGAGACAAAGCAATAAAAAATATCCACACTGGCTTGAGCCAAAGGGAGGATTTCTGGGTCTGTGTAACAGAAAGGCTAAGGGATAGTTCCTGGCTTCCGGCATGGCTGGATCCGAGATCTGGTTCTCTCAGAGTTGCCTCCCTTGCTCCAACTTTCCTTTTGTTCAGTGCCCGCCTGCACGCCTGCAACCCCAAAGGTGTGGAAGCCGGAGGTCAACAGAGTCCGGGACTCATGCTGCCTGTCACCACCCAGCCAAAAAGCAGAGACGGGCATTGGATTTTAAGTGCACGTTCAACAGTGTCAGATGCCGGAAATCTGAGAAGGTGGCGGGTAAACACCCTAACATCCGCC